CTGCAGCCTGAGACCACTGTTGTCCTGCCCTCCGCCACCCCTGACAACAGCCCGGCTCCATCCTCTTTCCAGCCCCCCTTCAGGGAGCAAAGGCTGCAATCAAATCCCCTCTCCGTTTTCTCTGGTCCAGACTCAGTAAGCCCACTTCCCTCTGCTTCTCCTCCAGAGGCATGTGCCCCAGCTCCCAAACCATGCTCGCTGGAGTTAGGATGGTGGTGATTCAAAAGATACTTGGTAATACTCTGCAAATGCAGAGGATACAATTATTCAGGCAGGGTTCAGATGGAGAGAGGATTGCTGGGTGCAGCTCCCAAAGGTAGAGGTACATAGCCATGGTCCAAGTTAAGGCTGCAAAGTGTAGGTTAAGGTTGATAGCCCTGGCAGCAGGGAATGGGTTTGTGGAGAAATGTGCTTCTAATTTGGACCAAAGGGCTATTTTTTATATACCGGACATGGGGAGGTCACGCACAAATATGCTTCAATCATGGTGAAAAGGCAGAGGCACAAATGAAGATTTCAGTAGAAGTGCGTTGTCACTGAAAAGGTTCATAAGAAAGGCAATATGAAGCAGCAAGGGAGAGGTAGATTTGAGAATGGCAGAGGGGAAGGGGATTAACAAAGTTACAAGCAAGGTGAAGCTCTAACAGCTGATCTGTAAAATAGACTTGAACTCCCATGGATCTCAAAATATAATCCTAGACATCACACGCACAGTACTTGAAGGTGAAAATTGACAAATTTCACTTACATCAATTAAGACTAAATTAAGTCACATGCCAGTGGTAAAGTTCTGACAAAACATTTGTCAGTCTGAGAAACCTGCTGCTCTGAAATACTAGGTTTCTGTATCATGATTTATCACATTGTGAATTGTGATGAAGCATGAGACAGAAAGCTGGGTTTTAGAGCACAAGGTTTCTCAAACCAACAAATGTTTTGTAAGAACTTTATCATTAGCTGTTCTATAAGACACGGGACCACTGTTAGCCTGTGGCTTATTTGACACTTACATGAAGTGCCCACTCACATTGTTCTTAAATTACTTAATGGCTCCATTGCTATCAGACCATTACCAGCAAAATGGTTCTTGGATGTACAAATAAAAAATATGACACCAAACCCATATATGGCAAGCCTGAATGTATTTGTGCTTCTGTAATGGAAAGAAGGCAATATAAAAAACACTCAGAGCTTAACTATACCATGTTGGCATTAATAACAAGTTCAGTTTTTGGGGGGGTTTTTTTAGAGTGCTAAGCATCTGAAAATTTCTTTCAGATTTGCCTCTTGAAAACAAGAATAAAGCTGTAGACTTTTTTTTACATTAAAAAATATGGGACCAGGCATATAAAGAACAAGACAGTTTCTATATTAATAAGCCAAGAGTTAAATCGCTTTAAGGTTATTAATCTATAGGTAATGTAGGGAGGATTATACTGATGGTTTCTACATTTTTTCTGTGTAGGATGGGTATCCTCATCAGAGTTCTTCGTTTCTACTTCATTGCTTTTTTATTTAATGGAGCAAATGGATTCCAAACTCAAAGAACATCTTATATGTATGGCTTCACATTTTCTAACTACTCTTACTTAAACCTTTCATCTATACATGAGGCACAAGCTCCAAAAACTTCAAAAGTCCTCAATTTCTCACATAACATTATTGAAAAAATAACCAGAAGAGACTTTGAAGGGTTTGTTGCTCTGGAAGTTTTAGATCTTTCCTACAATCAGATTCAGGACATTGAACCTGGTTCCTTTGAGAACCTACTCAGCCTTGTTTCTGTAAATCTTTCATTTAATGACCAGTTGCACAGAATTCCTTATCTTGCACCTCATTTAACATTCTTACAAACAGGTGGAACTTCTGGGATTCCACAACATAATATATATTTTGAAAGGTCATCAGAAGCTGCTTTGGAGTCTTTTGTGTCAGCAGAAGAGCAGCAATATCCTGAAGGTTTATATGGCCTGGTAAATGGTCATTCCAAGTTTAGTCGAACTGTACGGGACCTTCAGGAAGTAGATGAAAACAGAACAGTGTTGCTCTCACCTCCGTTAAGGCACAAGATCTGTGGCAAGCCAATAAATGGAGTGCTTGATCTATCAAAGAGTAATCTGTCTGAGGAAGAACTGACAGAAAAAATGGATGCCAGTCATTGCAAAGATCACCTGGACAGTGTTGTAGAACTGAATATAAGTCACAATAATCTGGAAATTGATCTCTTATCACTATTTATCCTCCTTCTTCCAATGGAAAACGCACAGTCGATTGACGCTAGTTACAACAAAATAACAATCAGCAATATAGAGCTTGGAAAAATTTGTGACTTTCCAATCCACAGGCTTCTGTTTGTAAATATCAGTAACAATCCCCTAAACAGTTTAGATACAGTGTGTCTCCCTTCAACTATTAAAATAATTGATTTATCATACACAAATATAAATCATATACCCAAAAATTTTCATGAAAAATTATTTAACTTGGAAAGAATATATGTTCAAGGAAATCAGTTCATCTATACTGTAAATTCAGACGACTCTGGGAAAAATGTAAGTGAGCCCAAGCCTGGAACTGTACGTATAGCTACACTCTCATTTGTTAATACCAGAGAAGGTACACCTATCGAAAGCCTGCCAGAAAACGTAAAGTACTTGAAAATGTCTAACTGTTCTATTGTGGAACTCCCCGAATGGTTTGCTCGTACAATGAAAAGACTGCTATTTTTAGACCTCAGCAATAACCCCATCTCTAAACTCCCTGACTTACCAAGCTCTCTGCAGCATCTGGACTTAAGCAACAGTGACATTAAAATAATACCACCGAGTTTTAAATCTCTATCCAATTTAACAGTGTTTAAAATTCAAAGCAATAAAATTACAGACTTCTCTCCTGAATATTTTCTGTTAACTTTAACAGAATATGATGTTAGCAAAAATAAGCTAAAGGTGCTAAATTTAAATGAAAACCTGAGGAAAGCTGAATTTCTCAACATTTCTGGAAATGTAATAACCCAAATAGATACCACCAGCCCACTTTCTGCACTCACTAATGTAGACGGCAGTCACAATTCAATTTCAGAGCTCCCAGATCACTTTGCAAAATTTCTTCCAGTACTGAAATATTTTAACTTATCAGGAAATAAGATCTCATTTTTACAGCCTGGATCTCTCCCAGAATCTTTGGTTGAGTTAGACATTAGCAACAATGCCATTACCACAATAGTGGAAGAGACTTTCGGCCATTTGACAAAACTAAATGTTTTAACTGTTCAAGGAAAGCATTTTTTCTGTAACTGTGACTTGTACTGGTTTGTGAATACATATATCCATAGCCCACAGTTGCTGATAAATGGAAGAGAAAATCTTAGATGTAGCTTTCCACCAGATAAAAGGGGTGCATTAGTTGAGAAAAGCAATCTAACACTTGTGCATTGTTCCTTTGGCATTCAAATGGCTATCACGGCTTGTGCAGCCATATTGATCATGTCGGTAATAACAAGCTTATGCTGGCATTTTGATGGACCCTGGTACATAAGGATGGGCTGGTACTGGTGCATGGCAAAACGGAGGCAATATGAGAAGAGACCGGAAAACAAGACATATGATGCTTTCATTTCATACAGTGAAAATGATGCAAGTTGGACTAAAGAGAATTTGTTGGAAAAACTGGAAACAAAGGGGTTTAAAATATGTTACCACGAAAGAGATTTCAAACCCGGGCATCCAGTTCTTGGGAACATTTTTTATTGTATAGAGAATAGCCATAAAGTCCTGTTTGTTCTCTCTCCCAGCTTTGTAAACAGCTGCTGGTGTCAGTATGAGCTGTATTTTGCCGAACACCGGGTTCTTAATGAAAATCAAGATTCCCTCATTATGGTTGTGTTGGAAGACCTCCCACCCAACAGTGTGCCACAGAAATTCAGCAAACTCAGAAAACTCTTGAAGAGGAAAACCTACTTAAAATGGAGCCCTGAAGAACAGAAACAAAAAATATTCTGGCACCAGCTAACAGCTGTCCTGAAAACATCCAATGACCCAATTGTATTGAAAGCCGAAAATGGACTGAATCAAGATACATATGAGATGGAATGTCACTAGAATAGGGGTTTGGTGAGTGGGATGCAGCCCACCAAATGAATTAATTTAGGCTGTGAAGCCCAGATATCAGTGACTGGCCAACACACGTCAGCAGGAAGAAGCAGTGGCTGGATTGGAAGCACCAGCCCAGCTCAGACCAAGCTACATTATTGCAGCCCATCTCTTCAGAAAAGTTGCTGACCCCTGGAGTAGAAGAATACATTAAGCTCGTAATCAGAAATTGTGCCGCCAAATAAAAGCGTATTGCAATGTTTTTAATTTCTGCAAATGTTTGAAATTTGGAAGTAGCTCTACGAATTGATTAATCCAATGAGGTTAATTATTAAAATACATCACTTTTTTAGGTTTGATTTTTTTTTCTATAGTAGTTTTAAATTTCTTTATGGTTTCATGAAATGTAGTAGACTTCGCTTTAAACAAAGAGAAGCTTGGGTCATATTATGTAACCTAAATATCTTCTCAGACCATAGAAAAAGGTAACATTCTTCAAAGGCACAGATGCAGCTAACATACTGAGATCCAACATTGCTGGAATGGTGGTGAACCATGAGATAGAAAACTAGGGTTTCAGAGCACAAGTTCATCAAACTGACAAATGTTTTACTGTACAGGAAACCAACACACTGTCAGTCACTAATATATCTTGGAATATCCTCAGACTTCTTCTACAGACAAAAAAAAATTGCAGTAAATAATAATACAGAGTATTTAAATAGCTTTTTTCACCTATGGTTTATGAAATCCTATATAATGAGGAAGAGAAAAAAAATCTAGTCATACACACAATCTGAAATTGTGTTCCAAGCTATTTCAAGGACATACTGAGAGACCTTATCCAGTAGCTAAAGTACTGGCAGTAGAACAAATTGCAGACAGTACAATGAGGGGTACTACCAAACAGAACACAGACTCATAGATTTGAATGTAAGGGGCTGGAAGGGACCTCACAAGATCGTCAGGTCCAGCCCCCCTGCACTAGGCAGGAAAGACAGCTGGGGTCAGGTGACCGTCCAGTCTCCTCTTGAAGATTTCTAGGGTAGGTGATTGTACCACCTGTGGAGGGAAGCTTATTCCACAATCTGGACACCCTGACTGTGAAGAAGTTTTTCCTAGTGTTAAGCCTGAAACGGTCTTCCAGGAATTTGTGGCCATTACTCCGGGTTTTCCCCAGTGGTGCCTGGTGAACAGTTATTCACCGAGCCCTTGATGTATTCTCCTGATATAACGGTAAGCTGCTACCAAGTCTGTAGTATTGCAGTGACTATAATTGCTTTGATTACTTATCTTGTTATTGACTATAATTGCTTTGACTGTCTATTTTGTTATTTCTCTTTTTATATAAGGAAAAGATTTAACCATTAAGATAAAGTTAATTTTGTTATGATTTACTTTTTACTATAATTTGATCAGTCATTATTAGTGCCTGGAATTAGCCATCTATTTTAAATTTCCTATTTCTTAGCATAAATGTATTTGCCCTATTGGTCTCATGACTTTAGAACTTAAATTTAGTATAAGGGAAACGCCTGTGTTAGGGTTTGCGGTATATTTGGCGCATGTGGAAAGAGGTAACGAAAGAATGAATGATGAATATATGTGACAGCATGGAGGAAGACAGTCCTCTTGCAGCAAGTGAAAATAGCCTTCTGTGGTTTAATGTGTCAAGCCAGCAGTGAAGGATTACCAAACACTAAATCATGCTCCATTCTGATGGCTGAAGACTGCAAGTGACAGCCCCTGAAGATTGCAGACCACAGAGCCAGAAGATCATGTCCTGTTGGCAGGCTGGGATTGGTAGGTCAAGAAGGATGGCCTTCACATTTGACTCAGCAGAATCTGTAGGCTTGTATGGACAGCTATGACTGTAAAGAATGAACACAAAGACAAGGTTTTGGGTCTCTTCCACCTGCAAGAAGGAGTTTTGGGCACGTCCAACAAGACCTGACTCCAACTCTCTTGGTCAGCCTGGCCGGCCACCAGACTGACTTTGAGCAACTTTAAAAACTTGGTAACACCTTAACCTTTGCAGGACTGTCTAGTTATCTGTGTGTGTGTTTCTTTGTATGAATGAATGAATGAATGAGTATGCATGGGAATGAGTGAAGCAAATAACCTTACTGTTGCATGTTTTATGTTCCAATAAATGCGGCATTGTGCCTTATCCCCTGATAAGGTTCTGTCTTGCTTTTAATTCACACTGTACGCCCTGTGCGCACAACTAATGCTGGTTGCTTGGTAGTATTCCAAATCAAATTTCTTAATTCCACAGGTATATGCCAGTTTGCTCCTTGTTCAGTTAGACTGCGAACTACACCCAGAGACCATAACTGTGTTTGTACACACATTAAAGCAACAGATACATTTCCCTCAAAATTTATTAAAGCATCAGCCAATACCTGAGTATCAGTTCTGTGCTCCCTTTCCACTGTTTTCACTACGTCAGCCAGTGACATCTGGAATAACGTGATTAGACCTTAACTTTCATCAGTAGGACTACCTAAGTGAAACAGTGTGCTTCCAGAAGCATTTAATTTATTCATTAAGTACTTCCTGATCAATGGAATTTGAAAGGCCCATTCCAGTGCCAGCTGCATCCAGCACTGTGTCCCATAATGGTTTAGCCCTGCGATTTTGATTGATTTTCCCAGTGCTATTTGCCCATTTATTCCATCCGTGTGTGGATAAACTTTTACTTTGCTTGATTTTCATGAGCAGGCTTTTCTTTGAACCACAGAGCATATTATGGGTTCATATTTTTGCTACTACCAAGATTGTGTGCGACATTTCCCATAGAACCTGTGTGTTTTTTAGATGGGGTATGTACCATTAATGGGTTTCTTTCCCAGGTACTTGCCAATTTATAGTCAATAAATCTGGTAATAATTTAAATTACAAAAAACAGACCTACCTTCCAGTCTGTTGCAGCTGCCCAAATGGCAGTACACCATCGTTCAGCCAAATTTAATTTTGTTTTTAACCATCGTTCTGGCACATCTCCGTATATACCTGTTTTCTTTAAAACAGTTGGTTAATGAGGTTTCTCACACTACCTGGTATGTTAACATTATATATATTGCATGCAAATGCTAATGAGATTTTCTGGAAAATAACAAAAATAAAACATAAGTTACCACAATTATAAAGAATACACATATTACCATAGTGCCTTTAACCTTGAATTTCTATATAAACTGTTACGTTTTACTTTAAGGAGCAGGACATCCTTCCAGTGCAAGTTGGACAGAAGTGTCCTGGTCTGAGATCCACAGATGAGTTTAATTTTTAGATGGTGTATTTCCCAATAATTTTTATTACACCTCTATGATATTTATATGCATTTAAACTTCTAGCAACTAAATTAATTAAACAACAAAATGAACAACACAAGACAGACAAGACAATCTTTGTTCTTGTAGAAAAACCATGGCTTATGTGAAGAAGATGCCGTTGATGGTACAAAGGCCTCGTAGTTTATCAGTCACCTTTGTTACTAGGTTGAGTACATCATGCTTTCTGGAAAAGAAAACACACAAACCCTGCCAAAGAAAATTGCTTCCAGCAAAATATTATTTATATTTATAAATTTACACTGCTGACATGCAGTGGCAATGCACACATTATTGTAATTCGGGGGGGCACATATATATACACACACATATACATTTACATATTAAATGAGGATAAAACAATACTGTTGTTTTTTTTAAATATACATTTAATATTACACTAGCACTCTTGTGCCACGAAAATAACAAAAAAACCCTATATTCATCAAATTTAATACTAAAAATTATTTTACCTTTTTTGCTATAGCTGCTGGAATTTTAGGGTATTTTGCTATACCAGGAGTTGTAACAGTCCCATCAGGCTTAATCTGAAACCACACTGATGATGGATGAGTAAGTTGCACCACCTGATTGTAGGGCTGAGATACAGAAAAATCATACTTGGCATCAATGATCAGCAAGGATCCTTGTTTTCAGTTTAAAAATCCAACATTGTCTGATTTAAAAAATCCAGTCTGCATTTTTCCACAGTTAAAATTAAATGCCACTAATATATATAGGTATCAGCTGAATACAGGCAATACATCGGGGGGGGGGCACATGATCCCCCAGATTTCTGCACCCACAGCAAGGTGCAGGGCTGCAGCCTGGCCAAACCAGCTCTGGACAGGAACTGCCTCTGCGGCCCAGCAGGCGGGACCCAGCACAGGAGGGAGCACTGTACCACCATGGCCACCAAGGTGAGGAGTGGTGGCATTAAGTTGTGCCCCTTGCTGCTGGGCGAGCAGGGGACACCTCACCTTGGTGGCCATAGTGGCGCAGCACTTCCATGCTGGGTCCCATCTGCTGTGCCACAGAGGTGTCTCCTGCCTGAGCTGGTTTGGCTAGGCTGCAGCCCCATGCCCCACTGTGGGTGCAGAAATCTGGGGGCATGTGCCCCCCACACCCCAGACATCTCCTGTGTCCCTCCCTGCCCCTATAGACTTACCTGGAGGGAGCTGCAGTAGCTGTTCTCCACCACACTGCCTGGCTACCATGTGCATATGTGCATGTGGCATCCCCTGCCCCCTGTGTCCTTCTCTGCCCAGCTCCAAGCAGTCATTACAGGCTGGAACTCCCCAAATGCCACTTTGATCTCCTTCCCCTGCCCGATCTGCTGCTTTGTTCTGCTCCAAGCCCTGTGCTCCATGCCTGATCTGGGGTGTTTTGGTTGCTGCTTCCTCACTTATTTGCTACTGTGCCTCCTGTCCCCTCCCTGATCTGCCACATGCCACACACACAGGCTGCCCATGCTGCTCTGCCATCCCTGGTCTGAAATGTTAAGTAAATCGCTTTGCGGAAGAAAGCTCTTTGTTTTGGTATGAAAAATGATTATTTTGTAATAGGAAGAAAAGGAGCTAGGCACAAAACTTCACCTCATCCACATAAATATGTATAAATAAGGTTATTCTGTTTTTATAAGTTATTTTTATTTGTATTGTAAGCTGCCTTGAACCATTTTTGAGAGCAGTGACATGTAAATCTAATATGTAAATAAAACCTGGTAGGAAGAGAGTTTATTGTATTCAGAGACTGAAAAAATGATTTTTTTAAGAGCTAATAACAGTATACCTATGCTTAAATGCAATTTCTGTGAAATCCTAAGGAATAAAAAATAGGGCATGACATGATTCCAATTTAAAAAATGGTAACAATATCAGTTTTCAAGGGGATTGTATGTTACCTAACTGATAGATCGCAAAACATC